GACCCTCCCCCCTCTCATGTGCTCTCTCTCATTCTCTCTCTCTCAAATAAATAAATAAAATCTTAAAAAAAAAAAAAATCCTTACTTGTTAGAGATACATACTAAAGCAAAATACAAGTAAAATAATATGGTGTTTAGAATACACTTTATAGAAGTCATCTCCCAGAATAATGTAATTATCTTACCTATTCTTTACTTTTTTTTTTTTTTTTTTAAGTAAGCTGTACACCTAGTGTGGGGCTTGTAACTCATGACCCTGAGACCGAGCTGCATGTTCTACCATCTGAGCCAGCCAGGTATCCCTATTCCTTACATTATTATTTGACTTTTCCCACAGCATTTTCATAGGAATTTTCTGCCTAATTCAATTCTCCTTTTGACCATTACAGACCTGTAACTGTATGACAGAAGCTTCTAGACTGTTCAGTCAATTAAAAATACTACTTACCCTGAGCTTGTAGAAGTTTAAGGGTAGCTTCAGCTCTGGCTCTGGCTTCTCTCTGGGATTTAGTTAAAAGTTTCCCTTCTTTTTTTAAGCGTTCTTTTCTTTCTTTCTCTTTTTGCTTTTTCCTTTCTCTCTTTTCTTGTTCTAGTCTTTCCTGCATAAGAGTACATAAATAAGACAAAAATTGTATTGGCATAATTATAAAATTTAAATCTAAAGAACCCAAACTCAAATGTAAAGCTCTTGAGATACATGCAAAGTATTACATTAGGAATATCCAAATGAAAATATTTTAAGGGCTGTACAAAATAAGTATTAATTAATGTCACATGAAAGTAGACTAAGTATTGGCAAGGATACATAACCAATTTCTGCATCTGAAAAAATAAAGGTAGGATTTTCTGTATTGCTTCATCTTGTCTGTATCAAAATAGTAACTGAATTACCATACAACTATGACACTTTTAGAATTAGAAGGTTAAAGATAATTTACAGAGCAGAGACTTTTAAGTTAAACACAACTTCATGAACACATACCTCTTCTTTACGCTTAGCTTCTAACTCTTCAAGCCGCTTTATGCGTTCCTCCTCTTCTCTCTTCTGTCGTTCTTCTTCTTCTTTAAGCTTAGCCAGAGCTTCTTGCATAGCCTTTACTGTGGCTTTGCTAGGTCCTTTTTTCTTCTCTTTCTCTTTTTCTTCCTTCTCTCCTTTCTTTTTCTTCTTATCTTTTTTCTTTTTGTCTCCTTCATTGTCATCTACCAAAAAAGAACAAAGGCAAAGTGTTTTTTAAAAAAGTTGTTTCCGGGAGACTGGGTGGCTCAGATGGTTAAGCGTCTGCCTTCGACTCGGGTCATGATCCCAGGGTCCTGGGATTGAGTCCCGCATCGGGCTCCCTGCTCAGCAGGGAGCCTACTTCTCCCTCTACCTCTCATGAATAAATAAATAAAATCTTTAAAAAATAAAAGAAAATAAAATAGAAAGTTGTTTCCTGGGCGCCTGGGTGGCTCAGTTGGTTAAGCGACTGCCTTCGGCTCAGGTCATGATCCTGGAGTCCCTGGATCGAGTCCCGCATCGGGCTCCCTGCTCGGCAGGGAGTCTGCTTCTCCCTCTGACCCTCCTCCCTCTCATGCTCTCTGTCTCTCATTCTCTCTGTCTCAAATAAACAAATAAAATCTTTAAAAAAAAAAAAAAAAGAAAGTTGTTTCCTAAAGCAGTGATAAGCAAACCCCAGAATTCAAGGACCATATTGGGCCAAGGCTGATGCCAGCAGCAAGTTAGGTCTCTAGCCCTATCAAGAGGGTAGCCAGAATAGCTCAAAACCGTCCAGCTGCCTCCTTAGAAGCCTACAATACTGGTGTTGCTCTAAATTGTCCTGAGGGATCCAAGAAGAGAGGAGGATCCTGACAGCAGGAAGAAGATATTACTGTATCTAATGTATCTCTTAATCCATGGTATCTGAATTCCTGCCTAAATTCTGTAGCTAGTTCTGCCTCTATAAGATGGGGATGATAGGAATGATGCCTACCTTATAGGGATATTAGGAGGACAAAATAAAAAACATAGATAATTATATTCCAAGAGGTCAACAGCATTAAAGTTTATGAAACTACTTTTGTGGTGTTACTCCTCAAAGATGTCCAGATAATAAAAATTTGGTTAAAAAAGATAGGTCAATTTTTCCATTGAAAGCTTTCTAGTCTAAAAAAACCTATGTGAATCATTTGATCTTTATTCTCCTGAAGGAGGAGAATTTTAATTAGAAAACTTACTTTTTGTTAATTGGTTCTGGCATAAAAACTTGGCTTACTGTTGCTTAAAAGATGTTAACTTATTTTAGCATGTTTTTACTTTTCTATTTCATAGATTGGATTGGGTTTTTAAAAACAAGAAAGTTGGGGTGCCTGGGTGGCTCAGTTGTTAAGCATCTGCCTTTGGCTCAGGTCATGATCCCAGGGTCCCAGGATCGAGCCCCGCATCGGGCTCCCTGCTCCACGGGAAGCCTGCTTCTCCCTCTCCACTCCCCCTGCTTGTGTTCCCTCTCTTGCTGTCTCTCTCTGTCAAATAAATAAATTTTTAAAAACCTTAAAAAATAAAAAACAACAGGAAAGTATTTATAAAAATAAAAAAAATTTAAAACAGGGAAGAATTGTTATTATCTGACACTAAGATATCAAAAAGAATAAATTTATCATTTAGGCAACCTGCAGTCTTTATCAGCACCAAAACTGTTTTCTTTCACAGTGAAATTCTTTAAAAATCCTAGTCTGTACACAAACCATTTTAAAGATATTTTATACTACATATAAATGTTTAACAGTGAAAATCAAAAGTATTTAGATATAATTTTTACAAGTCCTTCAAAATTTAAGTCCTTGTATAAGCAAAGGCAAAAACCAATATGACTTTGGGGCAAAACTTAGGACTATCAAACCAAACCTTCAGCCCTTTCCTTGATAATGTTACCAACCTTCAGCAGCTGTGGGAGTCTCTCCTTTCTCTTCAGAGGCAGGGACTGCTCCAATATCAAGGGCCACTTTGGATTTTACAGCTTCTTCTTCAGATTTCTTTTGAGACTGTTTACTCTGATCCTTTTTCCCAGTCTCTAGCTCTTCTTTTTCTTTCAGCTTCCGCAGTTTTGCTTTTTCTTCATCTCGCTTTTTTCTTTCACGTTCTTTCTTTTCTGCCTTCTTTTGGGCCACTGTCTTAATTTTGAAGGAGGAGTCGTCGTCTTCATTCCCACTCTCCACATTAGGACCTGGCTTATTTTTTTGATTTTTTTTCTGTCCTTTTCTAGACTGCAAAAATTCATCTGATTCATCACCACTTTCACCTGAAGAATTTACTCTGGAACGCTCTTTAACTCTTTTACTGTTATCCTCATCTTCTTCTGATCCATCCCCCTTTTTATTTGATTTCTGAACTTTCCCTTTAGCTTTTTTAGAAAGTTTATTAAAATCATCATCATCATCATCACTCCCAGAGTACATTTCCACTTTTGGCTTTGCAGTCTTTTTTGATTTTGAATCTTTATCTTCCCATTCTTCACTATCATTATCATCAAAACTTTGTTTTTTGCCTTTCTGTCCTTTCTTTTTTTTATCTTGTTTTGAGGTGGATTCTTCTTCATTATTTTCTGTTGGCTAAAAAATTTCCATTGTTAAAGATTTTAATAGTTACATTTTATTTTTTAAAATAAGAGTCCTCAATCATGTATTTTACTAAGTACACATAGAAAAAATTCTCAAAATAACTTCAAAATAAGGTCCATTTTTACAAATATAAAACTCGACCAAGTACCAGAAGCTAGCCTAGGCCTCAGGCACATTTCACATTCACTGGAAATGTCAGAATCCAGGTGCTCTGAAGCAAGTACTAATCATCAGTTCACATTCACTACCTTCTCAAATGGCATACAGAGCCTATGAGGAAAAGGAAAGAAAAAAACATATGCCTATCACTTTCCCATTACTTTGAGGCTATTCAAATTCAAAGAATGAAAAAGAAAGAACACAGAACACCGAAGATGGGAAATGTTCTACCTCCAAATGTACCAATTTTATGAATAGGCAACATTATCACAAAATACGTTTAAATTCCCAAATAAATGTTTTTATATCTGTGAAAGTCTTAAAACACATTTCCTAAAAATTGTTTTCCCTCTTTGGCATCAGAATTTATAGAAATTTTTAAATAACATATTCACACTGCTCAAAAGCTTCCAAAAGCAGCTCCCCAAAACTGGCACTAGGACACAGAACAGGTAACAATGGTCTGTTTTTCACCTTTACTGCAGCACTTTCTCTGTCAGCTTTGATGCCTTGAGCTTCCCAAGACAATTCTTCCAGTTCTTTCAGGATATCGTCTTCACTAGAAAAGGATTAAAATATATTCTGAGGCACTGAATTAGCTTAATAAGTCAATCTAGTACCAAAGCTAATAAAAATCAAATATATTTGAAATATACTTACTCAAAGTCTGGCTTTCTTTTATCCTTTTTCTTTTTCCCCTTTGACTTTTGAGGTTCCTGTTCTTTGGCAGCACCAGCTCCTTCTATTTCTGCAGCCAAGGCATCGAGATCAATGTCATCCTTGGCACTTAAATGAAAACAAAGAAGACCTAAATGTTAATCGAGAGCAAAATAATCTACCACATTAACAAAGAAGTTTTTTTTTTAACATTTTGACTTTTCTCATGTATTAGCAGCCCACTGAGAAAAATCATTTGGCAAGTTCTTTCATTACAATACTTGAGTTATATCTACTTATCAGCCTCCCTGCATCTGTTTCAATAAAGTTACACTCAAATCAGAAAGAACTATAATGAACAGCTCCAGGAAAATCTAGGTAACAAGAGAAGGAAATTAACTTTTGTTGATACCAAAGTTTTTTGATGTGTGCCTGAAACAAATGATTTATAAAATGGAGAGAGCTTAAAAGATAAAACAAGTCTTATAACTTTATTATTAATAGCAACACCTAAATATTTGAACAGCTATTCATTATTACTTGGAATAGAAATTTTAGAGCTGGAAGGAACTTTAGAGTCCACCTAGTCTATTATCTCATTTTGCCAACAGGAAAACTAAAATGCACAAAGTTTGAATGCCTTGGGCAAAACATCCAAATCTAAATGAATTAGGAATGATTTACTAAATAAAACACATAAAACATCCAAAACCCAGAATCAAATCTGCTCATAATCTTTTACATTCTTGGTTTCATTTCTGGTTCTATCCCACAATGTCCTCACCTACAAATATTGGAATAAACCAAACTATGTTTCAGTTAAAAACTACAGAAAACCAAGGAAGTCAGTCTGAGATGTACAAATATGAAAGGTAGATGAATCCAAATAAATGATACAGTAAGAAAACAAAAACTTCGAGACGTCTGGGTGGCACAGTTGGTTAAGTGTCTGAGGTCCTGGGATCGAGTCCTGCATTGGGCTCCTTGCTTACCAGGGAGCCTGCTTCTCCCTCTGCCTGCCATTCCCCCTGCTTGTGTGCTCTCCCTCTCTCTCTCTGACAAATAAATAAAACCTTAAAAAAAGAAAAAAGAAAACAAAGACTTCATGCAACATGACCCCCCACTTTGCACACCTCGTCATAAAGATGCTTCATTTCAGTAAAGAAAATTTCTTGAGAATAACTTTTAGCTCTATGATAAATATAATTTTAAGATTAACAAGACACTGAGGATATAAAATTTATTCTCAAGGGTCTTAGAAGAGACAGATAGCAAATCAATAAACCAGGAGTTGCAAAATGCCAAATGCCAAGAAGTGAAGGAATTTATGCTTTTATAATAGTTGTCCAGAACTGAAATAATTCCCTTTTGTCCTATATTTTAGACAGTGTATTTGAGAAAGATTATGTAACACTGAACTGCTGTATTGGAGAGGACTTCCTTTTTTCTCTTTTTTTTTTCTTTTTTTTA